CGCGCTACGGCGGGGCAGCCTCAGGAAGGGGACGGCCGAGCTGTTCCAGCGTTAAATCAAATCCGTGAGGGATGGCGACAGACCTATTCGTCCCCAGCACGCGCAGAGGAGGACACAACCAGCGCTCCGCTGACGAACACAGGGAGCCCGGCCCAAAGGCAGACAGGTGAGTTATTATCATATATAATACATTTAATATGCTGCTTAGATTTTTAACATAGAATTTTTTTTTATTTCTGACATCGGTGAGTCATTTAAATATTTAGCCCAGACAATAAAATATAAAAAAACCCCCAAAAACCAACCCCAAAAACATCTACGGTATGTGCCTGCTGATTCTAACAATAGTCACAATAGTAGGGCCCAGTGAATGTTATTATATAAGAATCTCTTAAGTCCATGTCATACATACATTATGAACTTACAAATAAATAACTCTACAAAAATCTTGTCTTCTCTCCATAATTTCATGTGATCGGCAAAAAAAAAAAAAAGAAGAAAAAAAAAAAAAGGCTCTTTCTGGTGATGACAAATTCGGAATTGCACATTTAGTTCGAGGAATACATTACTGGTGCATCACCAAAGTCAACCACTAGGCAACAAAAGACGTATCATATGAAACAATTTTTTTAATTTTTATTTTACATATTTATACATAAAACTTTCAAGGTAACTCTCTGAATCCAACCGAATGTTAATAGCACATCTAAAAATGAATGTCAGGTAGTCAACATTCACAAAATGTTGAAAACTGATTAAAATATACATATTACTGAAAGCTACAACTTCACTACGAGGCAGGCATGTATTTTTTTTGACTTGTATAGCACCGTCAAGTACAGTTTCTTTATTTTAAAACTACAGTGAAGAATAAAAAAGTAGTCAATGGTAAAATATCATTCAACTGAAAATCTCTAAACAAACAAAAATAAAGTTAAACTACCCTCTCTTCTCACCCATGATTTATAATGTTATAAGTACTGTACATTTTTTGTAATAATATTATTAAAATGCCTGATATTTAGTGGCACGAGTAAAAAAATTAAAATAAATTAAGAAGCAGAGGCCAATCACCGGACATAAAGCTTCAGACATGGTCAATGACTAACACTGGTTTTCTCGTGCGCCACCGTGGACATCAGCGCTTGGACACACACAGAAGCAAAATGAAGTATAAGTACTGTACATTTTTTGTAATAATATTATTAAAATGCCTGATATTTAGTGGCACGAGTAAAAAAATTAAAATAAATTAAGAAGCAGAGGCCAATCACCGGACATAAAGCTTCAGACATGGTCAATGACTAACACTGGTTTTCTCGTGCGCCACCGTGGACATCAGCGCTTGGACACACACAGAAGCAAAATGAAGTCTCGCTCGAGCTCTGCTCCTGGGGCTCCGGGGTTCATTTTGCCGGCATCTTCTCCGCCATGTGCTTCTGCTGACTTTCGGCATGTCTGGCGGGAGGGAAGAAGCTGCGTTATTCGCCGCGCCGAGGGGAGGAGGAAACCCAAACCGCACGCAGGGCTGTGCTCCAAGCCAGCATCCGCCCCGCGCTGGCGACGACCCAACAATAACGTTTCCCCGAGGGGAAA